TGGTTGGTTGGTTGGTTGGTTGGTTGGTTGGTTGGTTGGTTGGTTGGCTTTCCTTCCTCATCATCCACTTTCAGCTAAGGCACATTGCACTACAGGTACTCACTGCAACTGTTAAACTTTTTCTATTTTACCATAGCCACAAGAAACTGAAAACATGCCCCGTGCTTCAAGAAATTCAGACTCCAGTTACTGGCAAAACTAGGAAGCTTGTATGCTCAAAAGTGTGGATCACATTTTCAGTTTTATCTTCATCTTAAAACATAATGTTTTCCAGTCATGGTGACACACTACTTTAATACCAACAGCTGGGGAGGCAGAGTCGGGTGAGTCTCTGTGTTTGAGACCAGACTGGTCTACATAGTAAGTTCTGGCCAGCCAGGGCTACATAGTGAAACCTTATCTCTAAATAAGAAAGGCCTGTCTTCTCCACCTGATTTAGTATTGTCCCTGTGTGTTCCTGAGCACCTGCAGGCTTTCTCATTCTTCCTCTGTGTTATTTTTCTATAGCCCTACCAGTGACAGTAACCTTCAGATCGACTTTATTTATGTATATTGATTGTTTTGTCAACCTCCAACTTCAGAATGTAAGCTCCAGAAGGACAGGGATTTGTATTGTTTTGTATCCCAGCACCTGACTTGTGCTGAGATTTAGTCAACTCGGTAAAATGTTCTGTTTCCTGAGCAAAGACGAGGATATCACGTGTGCCTTTTATTTATAAGAATGGAAATACAGAATTTATGTGGGTCAGTTTGCATCCCCCAGGCTTGTAATAAGGTTTTCTGACTACCACATAAAGGATCAAAAAAGGGAGTTGAGTAATGAGTTATCGCCTCCCAGTACATACGTGGCTGGAGATGGGGCAGCTCAGTCCACTTGCCGATGCTTTAGCATGTAACACTGTTAAGGCTTTCTGAGGGCTGGGATGCCAAATCTAAGCTTACGCTCCCTCACTTGTTTTGGTATGCTGATGTGACACTGGGAAGTCACTTTCCTTTGAGGAAGAAGTCCTCATGTGTAGTGGGACTTGAACCAAATGATTACAAAAACATTGTCTAAAGTTCATTCACTTGCAGTTTTTTTCATGTAGCCCAGGCTAGTTTTGAACTCCCCTCAAACATCCATGTGGTCAAGGATGACTTTGAACTTCTGATCCTTATGCCTTTGTCTCTCAAGTGTGTCATCACAGCCTGTAGTTTACCTAGAGATGGTAGGTCCTGGGAAAATGGAGCCAGTAAGTGAGGCAGACTAAAGTTTCATGTAGTAATAGCCAACTTTATACTCTGAGGAGTGACATAAATGTACAATCACAAGACGACCAACCCCCCCCCCCCCCCCGTCTCTGTGTGTGTGTGTGTGTCTGTCTGTCTGTCTCTGTTTAGCAAGCTACATGAGGCAAAATCATGTTTTTCCATAGAGGCATATAAACAAGTAACACTAGCTAGCTGTAATGAATAATCTGAAGCAAGCACTTTTATCTATACACCTGGGAGGAGCACAAAACCACATTCTAAGGACAATTCTGTGCTTTTGAAGAAAATGAAGTCACAAGACTTGTTTTCTTGGAGATTTCTCAGAAGCATTCACAATTTCCTGTGACTCTGTTCTTGAACGGTGTTCACCCCAGTGCTGGGGATTAAACACAGGGCTATCTGCAGGCTGTACAAACACTGGATGAACTGAGACCATCCCAGGTCCAAAATGATGATTTTTAAAAAGTATCAAATATTTTTTTTTTCCTGAGAAGAGTCTCACATCGTGTCTTCCTTGTTTGTCTAAAACTCACAAAGAACCAGATCAGTATTTTTTAAAAAGACTTTTTAAACACTAACGGGCCAGGTTGGACTCCCTCTTTTGTTTATTAGAAGTAAAGTAATTGGGTTTAGAGTGCAGGATGCTATTAGACGGATCATTAGTCTTGGCTCTTTTGCCATGGGAATGTTGTTTATTGCCCTTGTAGTCATTTTGTTCCACTAGAGGGAGACATATTCTTGACTTCTGATGTTTAACCAGCATGATTGGCAGCAGATGCTATACAAGTGGAAGAGTGTACTACAAGGGTGCCAAGCTAGCCGAGTGCACTTACTTGGCTCCTTTACTTTCCCCTAGAGACTAACCTGATAATGGCACACTTAGTGCTTGCTTTCTAAATTAGTCCCTACTTAGAACCCCAACAAGAGTTAATTCAGGTGTGGTAGACTATACCTCAATCTCAGTATTTGGGAGACAGGATGGTCACATGTTGGTGACCAGCCAAAGTCAGACCCTGTCTCAAAACCACAGCAACAGAAGTGGTTTTTCACTTGGGAATAATGCACTTTCAGTATGGTGATTACAGAAACAGATTCTGAATGGCCCTAGATTCCTGATGTAGTGTGTTCACTTGCTGATCCTTCAGACTTCTGGGACTCAAGTTTCCTTTCTCACCTATCAAAGGAAGACTGAGCAGAGATGGGCTTTGAGGTGCAGAGGCTGCACTTCACTGGGGCAGACATGCTGTGTGGAAGACACCTGAAAAACAACAGTGAAGTACCGGGAACTAGTTAATGTTGAATACATGTCACATGGTATTTCCCATATGCTGGGCTGGGTGTATCTGTTAGCACTAAAATTCCATCTGTGAGGGCTGGCTGGAAGGCTCCATGGGGAGCAGGGCCTGCTGAGCAAACCTGACAACCTAGCTTAATCCTTGAATCCCACAGTGGAAGGAAAGAGCTGATTCCCAAAAGTTGACCTCTGACCTCTACACATGTCTGCTCCCACACACAATATTTACAGAGTAATAGTTTTTAAGTAAACTCTCTATGTGGGCAGTTTGAATGTACACAAGTAGGAAGAAATAGGCTTTTCCTCAAAAATCTGTGTATACCAATTCTCTGTACTTTTCTATTTTTCTTTTTTTTTCATTATTCACTTCACATCCTGATACATGCCCCCCTTCTTTCTGCTTCCTCCCTCTCACAGTCCCTTCCCCCATCCCCTTCTCTGAGCGGGTGCAAGTCCCCCTGGGTATCTCCCCCACCCTGGCATATCAAGTCTCTGCAGGACTAGGCACAGCTTCTCCCACTGAGGCCAGACAAGCAGCCCTGTTATAAGCACGGGATCCACAGACAGGTAACAGCTTTAGAGACAGCCTCCCTCTCCAGTTGTTGGGGGGCCCTACAAGGAGACTCAGCTACACAAAAGCTCAATTCCCAACACCCACATGGTGGCTTACAACCATCTGTAACTAGTTCCAGAGGATTCGATGCCCTCTTTTGGCCTCCACAGGCACTGTGTGGTATGTGGTGCACGGACACACTTTCAGGCATTCATTCACATAGAATCTCAGAAAGTTATTAGGAAAAAGAACATGGCTCCAAGCTTCTTTCCACTCTTTCTCCAGACATGGTGTTTCTTTTAAATGTCTTGTTTTACAAACAAAAAATCCAAAAGAAACTTGTACTCCACTCACTAAATTCCTATTAAAAATTTTTACGTTTTTTTCTTTATGAAAATAATATCTCGTAAAGTTACACATTTAACATGTGACAGGCACATCGGGACTGTTGAAACTATTTGGAAGTTTGTGCTTGTGAAACTGGAGAATAATGCCATCTAGTACATGAGAGGATTAAGTGAGATATAATACAGGTAATTAGCACTAGTAAATGTTTACAACAAGGAGTAAAGAGGGCAGGGGAGGTGGCTTAGTGGATAAGTTGGAGACCACTAAGACATGAGGACAGGAACTTGGATTCAGCAGAACCTATATAAATGTCAGGGGCCGTGGTGGCCACCTGTAATTCTGGGCATGGAAAGTAGAAACCATTGGCTAGTTTTGAGAACTTGACAAGCTAGATTCATTTGAGAAGAGGGAAATGCCCTCTTTCAGAAAAAAAAAATGCTCCCACTAGACTAGCCTGTGGGTAGGTGGGTGGGTGGAGACAAGGGGTGAGTGATGGTTTGACTCTTTTTTTTTTTGAGACATGGTTATTGATTCTGTTAGGGTGGCTGGACAGTGTGCATCAGAGATTCAGCTGTCACCGACCTGCCTTGATCTGGCACTGGCGTTACAAGTGAGCAGCTACACCCGTCTTTGTGCTCTCTGGGTATCTGAACTTGGTTCCTTATGTACTTTGCCAATAGAGGCAACTGTATGATTTTTTTTTTGAAGAGATAGTGTTTCACTATGTTGCCCAGGTTAGTCCTGAACTCCTTGAATAATCCTTTCACCTCAGATTTCTAAGTAGATATAACTATAGTTGTATGCCATAGCCTTGTCCAGCCTGACTTAAGAAAACTCAACTTCTGCCAATTTTCATGCTGCATGCCTTTAATCCCAGACCTTGGGAGGCAGAGGCTGGATATCTGTGAGTTTGAGGATAGCATGGTCTACCTAGATAGTTGTAGTACAGTCAGGGCTACACAGAGACACCCTGTCTCAACACCCGCCTCCCAGGAAAAAAGAAAACCCAATTCCTAGTCTACCATCTGCTCTATTATTTTTTTACAGCATATAATCTGTCTTCAAAATTTTCTAAGTGGTTTTTATTAAATCAATGTACTTAGATCTGTCAATAAAGAGGAAGAGACATTACTGTAATAGAAACTTACTGAGCTGCCGGGCTGCTGTGGCTCATCGGCAAGGGGCATCATTGGACATCTCCCACCAAGTCATTGCTCTCCGTAATGAGACTGGCCTGGTGGGGATTAAGTGCCATCAGGTAGTGAGCAGGATGAACTCAGGCAGGGCAGATTCCTGAACTCAGCCCTTCATCTGCAGCGAGGGCGGTATGAAGGTCAAAGGGATGCCAGAGAAAGTTCAAGGCTTGACACTTGAGAAACCCTGATGCTGATGTCTCTAAAGAAGTCTAGGAATCTGATGGAATTTTCCCCTGCATCGTCATTTCCAGAATTCAGTGTGAGCTAGAGATATCAACGTGACATAAGATAAAGCTGTCTGAGAGGAGGGAACCTCAATTAAGGAAATACCTCCTTGAGATCCAGATGTGATCAAGCCTGTAAGGCATTTTCTTTTTTTTTTAAAGATATAATTTTTTAATAATTTAATAATTTAAATTTTTTTTGAAAAATATCATTCAATATTTTCTGATCATTTTGTTTTCTCTAGCGACTCCTCTAAGATCTTTCCTACCTCTCTATCCACCCAATTCTATTCACTTTCCTACACATAGACACATACACACACAAAGAGAGAGAGAGAGAGAGAGAGAGAGAGAGACCATAGATATAGAAAAATTTAAACCATAATATATAAGTAAAAGACCAGTAAGCTAAAAGAGAAATGCCAAAACAAAGCAACGTAAGACTAAAAAAAGTCTAAAATGATACTGTTAAGTTCATTTTGCGTTTGTCATTTACTGTTGGACATGGGACCTACCTTTAAGCATAGTTAATATACTTGACTATATCATATAATTAACATCTTTTTTTTTAATTGGATATTTTATTTACATTTCATATGTTATCCCCTTACCCCATCCCCCACCCACCCGGGAACCCCCCATCCCCTTACCCCTCCTCCTTCTTCTCCGTGGATGTAACCCCCACCTACCCCCCCCCACTCCCACTTCCCCACCCTCAAAATTCCCACCCCCTGGGGCGTCCATCCTTCATGAGGTCAAGGATCTCATCTTCCACCTGTGCCCGGCAGGGCCCTCCACTCTTACATATTCGTAAGGGATTTTCTTAACTAGTGATTGATGGAGGAGGGTCTAGCCCATGACGGGTGGTATCACTCCTGGGCT